GTTTTGGTTATTCTGTTAGAGTTTCTGAAAACTGGTTTTCCAGAAAACCGGGTCTTAAAGAGTCGTCAGCCGATATTCTTTTAGGCTTTCTATCTACTCGAGACCCCCCTATCGAATGATGCATGAATGAACGAAATCGGAGCGGGGCACCTGGGAATGTTCCCTCGTCAGTATAATCGAAACGCGCGAATTAGTGGAAGTTTAATCTCACTCATTTTTACGCCAAAATGTTTTTCTTGATCCCTGCGTCTATGGTACATGCCAAAAAATGCCAAAATTTTCCTAAACGGAGTTATAGGTTTTCTAAAAACCCTTGGTTTTCCGTGTAAAATTGTGTTTTCTCTATTCCAAGGTGATTTTTTTCTATAATTTACACATATTTGGATTCAGCGTGAAAAACTGCATTGTCTGACATGTCTTAGAACACTTTTCAAGTGGAAAAGATTATCGGAGGCCCCCGAGTCGGGGACCTTCGATAACTCACATTTTTCGTAAATAATACAAATTCCTAAATCTATCGTGCAAAGTTTCCTTAAAAAAAGATAGATTACTTAAACGAGAAAAAGATGTATTTGAATGCAGCGATTTCAATTAGATACCAACTGGGCTTCAACATTCTTAATTAGGGATATAAACTGATTGAACGAAATCGGTCTTCTCCTTAGTAGATTTTCCAGGAATTCGTCTCCTCTAGGAGTTTGTGAGGTCAGTAAACAGCCGACACTTGTTAAAAAACTTGCTGTAGCGCGTTGCAACAAGAGTTCAGTACGATCGTACGAATGAACCAAAGAAACTGGCTGAAGACACTGTTAACGGTATCTGTTTAGTAAGATCAATTGAAAAACTTTCTGGATAACAAAAACTTTGCTCTTTCTAACGTAATTATAGACCAAAACTCTTCGAAAGCAATGGTAAAAATCATCAACTAAAAATCTCTCTAACAGTTGACATTTTCACACGTTATGTTGTTACATTATGTGTCAATTGTTGTTGGTCTTACAAAATGGTTGTCTGTTTGTGCGCAAAATACGAAAAAAATGGCCGTCAGATATTGCATGGATCTCCTAGCGTACACTGAGCGAGGCGTAAGCGTTGTGCTGGATTTAAAAGCCATAGAAGTAAAGGTCGTTCGGAGACATAAGTGTCTAAAGTCAATGAACCGAGCGAGTGCAGACAAGCGTTACCTTGTACCTTGTAGCTGTAGCCGTAATTTCTTTCAGGTCCTTGCAATAGCCATAGGATTACAACCAATCAATGATAGTAAAAAAGTGGAGTTCATTATTTTTTTAAAATGGCGGATTTGTGGTTGCATGCGACGCCTAAGATATAATAGTTTATTTTGACCTGTACTAGTGCCACCTGGAAGTGGTGCTAGATTATCTTGATCATTAAACTCTTTTAACTTAGTTACTTTATTGCTTTCGTGTGGAAGAAATAAAATAATAGGTGTATTCTTGCATATTTTTATACAATCAATGCAAGTTAAAGCGTTTCTTTCATAAAACAAAACTCAGCAATGCAGCGAATCTTGTTCAGTCAAGGTAAAGCTAACGTATACTAATGGTAAATTTGAATTTTTGCAAATTAAGAAATACAAATTTTGACTTTGGAGAAACAGTTTGTCTCTTTCAACCAAGCAAGAATAAGTGATCAGTTAAGAAAAGAAACTGTTATATTATAAAACAGTGTTCAAAAGAATATAGAATTTTTTTGTTATTTGCTATAGGTATTTGCCGCTTGTTACTTGAGCGTGTACCTCTATTATCTCGTTATAACATTATTGATTTCCGCTTGTATTCAAGTGGAAATAAAACAAATAATGTAAAAGATAAACAGCCACCAGAAGCCGTTTCATTTGAAACGAGTGGACGAACGTCTGAAAATCCTGTGTGGTCAATAAAGGATCAAGCAAGCCATAAAACGAAATTATCCGGTAGTCATGAGCATGATTCTAAGCCTTTAGCCGATTCTTCACCCACTCCAACACCCACTCCAACACCCACATCATCCCCGGTTGCATCAACAACTGACCAAGTTCATGTAGGTGAAGGACGTATGAAATCAAATAGCCCAGTATGGTCAACAGTAACTGATAACTATTCTGGAGGTGCTACTTCAAAAAAAGAGGATAAAATTGATCCATCAGCAACTTTTATTCCAAAAAGAAAGTATTCGACGTCATCGTCTAAGTCGAGCAACACGGATAAAAGTGCGAAAAGAATTGATGTTCATTCGGATATTTATCCTCCGTCAACAGTAGAAAATCAGACACCTATATCGTCCAAAACAGATTCCTCATCAACACAAGAACAAGTACCGTCTGCTCAAACAACAGAGCGCACCGTTTGGTCTGCTCAAAGACTAGACACAGTTCACACACCCGGTACAAGTCGTCCAACAACAGCATTTATCCCATCATCCACAGATGCATCATCGCATCGATCGACGGTTTATAGTCCAGTTGGAGATATCAATATTGCTGATCCGTAAGTAAAGAGAGAAATACGTATATAGTTACATTTGTAAATCAGAAGAGCGAATAGATCAAACGGAGCGATGGGAGCCGGAGGAGGCTTCACGTTCAGTGTATTCATCCATTTTTGATAGAATGATCAAATTTAGATCCTTCCCTACAATTTATATATGTTCGAGCACATGTACATGTACTCAAAGGGTTTTTATATGTTCATCCGTTAAGATTACTTGTAGGTGTTTGAATCTGTTGATAACATTGGGTTACGTTAGCTTGATCTCACTGGTCATGAAGACCTGAATTTGAAATGTACTAGTCACATAACTTGTACAATACTATGAGGACGCTACTGAAGGGTGCTTGTACATTATTCGCGTCAAAATAGTTTTTTGTTTATTTATCCAAACGGAATGAGCCCTGATATCTTTTGTTAACATTAATTCGGAAATAAATTTATTAAAAAGTTTGTCGAAATAGTTATGACAAAAACCACGTTTCAACTCACTCTGATTTTTCCTGTGAAAGTTTGCACTGAATACGGAGTTGGTCTCTTATCAATCTTATTCTTCAGTTTTTTTATTATTTCTTGTTTTTATTTGATTCAGTTTTAAAACCAAGAATGTACTGCCTACTACATCATCGAAGTCCTCGTCCAACACAATTTCCCAACCAGTTTCACCGCCGAAACCATCAGCTGACTCGATAACGACGACCTCCTCTGTAAATTCAACGTCAACACAAGATCAGCCACCTTTATCAGAAAAGACTGAGCGAACAATTTGGTCTGCGCAAGTAAGTTGCTTTTCATTTCGTTTTAATCTATCGTAAAATACATTTAACTTATCCTTCATTGATAGAGACCAGACACAGTTCACACACCAGGTTCAAGTAGTCCAACAACGACATTTATCCCATCATCCTCAGATGCATTATCACATCGATCGACAGTTTATAGTCCGACTGGAGATATCAATGTCACTGATCCGTAAGTAGGCAGAAATAACTCTCATAATAGAGCCCGGTTATCGTAGTTTGTTCTAACAGTTTCTTTAAAACTAAATTTTTTCGTATTCTATTTTTGATACTATGTTTCTTACAGATTCAAAACCAAAAATGTTTCTCCTTCAGTGCAATCCACATCCTCGTCATCAGTTCCAGTATCTCAAACAACATCATTTTCTCCAAAAATCAGCTCAACTGATACTTATTCTTCTGCTTCTTCGCCAACGTCAAGGTTTGATACATCTGTGCCGGTTGAGATGGCTTCCTTGGAACAGAGAAAAAGCAATATTCCTCCATCAGCAGCAAAAACGTTCGGAGGGCAAGATACGTCTATATCATCGTTTCGTTCAACACCAACAACAGCAGATACGAATAATCGATCAACGTATGATTAGAAAATACAGTTATCGTTTCTCAACATAACAATTGATCTGTTCATCTCTTATAGTGAAAGACCCATCCAAAGCAAAGATCAAATTCGAAATGAAATTCTACGGGAAGCTCTAAAAATTGTCAATGAGAAAGGATGGTCAATGGATGCAATTAGAGAAGGTAGAGAATCTATGAATAGCATACGGCGCACTTCTAAATATTTATGGGTAGGAGAGTGAAATAGTATAGAGTCCAGCTCGAAAGGAGCGTATAGTATCAAATCTTTTTACTTCTTTCACAAATGTATAACCAAATTTGTTCAAATAATTTATTATTTTTTCCCCATTAGGCGTTCGTACTCGTGGTCATCCATCTACCGTCGAAAGTTTATTTTCAAGTGAATATGACCTTGTCGATTATGTTGTTAATGATGCAAATAAAGCAATGGTGAAATATATGAGAGAGAGAAAAGAGAAGTAAACTGATATAAAGGATGACTTGTCTACATATTATTTATTTTTTATTTTTTTTGTTTCAGAGGAAATATAAACACTGAACAGTTATTAGTGGACGGTTTGAAGTACCGTTTAAGTTTCATAATTCCCTATACACAAACATGGAATCAGGTACTCATTATGATAATATTGTGAGGTACTGTGTATATCTTTATTCCAAATCTGACTTTATAAACATCACATTAAATTGCACGATTTTATTTATATACTATTGTAAATTTTTCTTGATATAAGTCAGTCTTTTTGCTTCAGGCTCTCGCTCTTGGTGCAATACCTCAAAATGCATTTCGTGAATGGAAAAATCTCTTAGACTTAGCTGATAAAGCATGGCACACTGTTGGAGATAATTCAACAGACGTAAGACTTTGAACATATTGTTGTTGTGAACAATATACTCATTTTTCGTCATTTTTTTTAGATCGATTGGTATACAAAACGTTTATTATTAGCAGCTGTATATAAAAGTGCCGAAATATATATGGTTCAAGATTCATCACCTGATAAAGCTAACACACTCAATTATTTAGATAGTCGATTAAACGATTTTTCGTCAATGGCTAATGCAAAAGATTCGGTAGGATTTTTAGAAGAGCTATTATAACATAAAAAGTAACGGAATGTGGTGCGGTACTATAATCTGATAATGAGTTATCTTTAACGATTTTTTTTTTGTTTTCTTGATCGATTTAAGTTCATCGTGTTAATTCTTTTATACTCGTCTTACTGATATATCTTGCCTAAGTGGAATTTTGATTTTAATGTAAAATAATATTTGATTTTTAGATGGGTAATAGTGTAGTATAATGTCAGTTATAACAGTAGATGGTATGAAATAATATGGAATGAAATATGAGAGAGAAAATCAAAATTGTTTAATTCATACTGTAATAAATACAATCAATCTCGTGTATTTTAAACTAATTATTTAGAAACCTCACTGGGAATATCTAATCGTTATAGTTTATAATTCAAAATTGTTAAAGATATCGATTACTGTCTTTTATCAAGCTTTTGGATATCAGATCAATCAACCTTGTGATTAGCTGCGAGAATTCTTCTGTAAAGAGTATTTGACACTGTTTTTAGTAGAAGAGAAAAATTGCGCCACTTTCGTCAAAGATGTTATCATTTATGTTATCAGTAGCAGAAGTGATCATTTTTTTAACTAAATGTGAAGAACAATATCTTTTATATTTTTTCCACAAACATTTTAGAGCAAAAATGAGACAACCTTGTCGATTTGTTGAGAATAATCCTCATACTTAAATATGAATCTCATACTAACTATTGTTACATTTGCTATTATCATATAAGGTAGCATAATTTTTCATAGTATAATAATTGTTTTGTTTTATTTTATTTTATAGGTTTCAAAAGGTGTTTCTGATTTATCAAAGATATTTTCTGGCTTATTCTCTGTTGTACGTATAGACTCAATTTATTTTGGTTATTTGTGACTGACTAAATTATTATTTATTATAGGTTCGTAATCTCACTTCTCGAAAATGATGGATTGTGACTATAGAAGTAGGATGAAATGACTTTTTTTTATGGAATAGTTTTTATTTTTAAAATACTTAAATTAATACAATATTTTTTATTCTTGACCTAACGCTATTTTATTTGCATGTATTTTATATTCTTCTCATCCGGTTAGTTAGTTTATGCTTTTGAAGCGTTTATATAAAAAATATTGTTTGCATACAAACATGCATACATTTTCTTGTTCTTTGCGTGTCGCTTATCATAGAATAAATAAATAATTTTTGTTTTAGTTTTACCTACAAATATTTTTTAAAATAAAATAGTAATATTTAAAGAGAGTAAAAATTTTTGGATGTACTAGATCAAATATTATCAACATTGAAAAGACTAGCAGTGAGATTAGATCAATTTTGTACCGAAAAATGTTACACTGAATACTACAAATCAGCGATATACCCAGGATTCCAGTAAGGGGTGAATCAAATCTTTTTTTTTTGGGGTTAAAGAAAATGGTAAACAAAGCTTTTGTGTCGTATTTTTATTTGTCGATTTTAATCAAAATATTTTTTTCTATTGTAAAATGAAGAAAATGAAATTTCTAAGGAATGGACCATGACTCAACCTTGGTCAAGTGCTGGGTACGTCGCTCCTACAGATACTTTTATATGAACTTCTAGTAGTTTACTTCTACTACACCTTTATAAAGAAGAATAACTATAGATATAGTGTGTAGACCAGTGAAAAAAAATCGTTTTCATTTCGTACACGTCTGATAGAATATAATTGATTGAATAAACGTTTTATAGAAGTGCAGCCATAAATTAAGATCCTGTCTGTTCTGTTTTTGATCCTTACTACCATTATTAAGATATTTACTGTACTGTACTATAGAGAGCAGTGTTTATCGTAGTCAAAAATCTCGGAAAAGTCCTGCAAAATTTCGTTCTGCATGAGAAATGACTATAAATTCTATGGGATTTTACAAATTTTTTTTACGGAATTTGCAATAAAAACCCGTAGTAAAGTAGTAAAAATTAGCGAAATGAATAAAAAAAATTCCACAGAAATTTCATAATAATTTCGTGAGATTCTTGATTAGGATCTGCAGCTGTCTTGATAAGGACAACAGGAATCGAAAAAAGAAAAACAGGATTTTAATATACGCTTGAAATTTTCGTTGAAATGTTTATTCAGTCAATGATGTCCTAATCGAAGTAACAAAAGTGCGCGAAATCAAACGATCTCTTTCTATCAGTATATTGCGACCAATATTGATAGAAGCAAATTTTAATTAGCATCTGTCTATTTATATAACAAGCAAATATCGTTTGTCTTTCTTCTCTATTCGCCTGTGAACAATGCTTTCACAATCAAGTCAATAGTAATGAAACTAATTACAAAAAGTATGATGAAATGAGAAAATATTCATTTGAAGGCAGTTTCAAATTCAAAGAAGTACAACTATACCGTGAAAAGTAAGGCAAAACATTTTTTGGAGAATTAAAACCATAAAAGGAAGACAAGAAAGGAAGAAAGAGAGAATAGTTTATTCATCTATTCATCAGTTTGTTGAATAACATCGATTTCTTTTCAAGAAAACAATTTTCTTCGTGGTCTAAATGAACATAATAAAATATTTCAAAGATCTTGTTTTCAATCAATAAAAATATAGTTTAGATAACATACAAGAGATGAGCTATCGCTGGTTTACTTTTGGTATTGCACAATCAAATCGTAATGAAAAAAATTTATCTGTTCTTAAGCAAATATTATACATCATAAAAGACACAAAAAAAGGAATTTAAATTACAAATAATTTATTCTTTCAGATTCATAGGCCAATATGGTACTTGGTAGATTTCCTCATTATACAGCAAAATTAATCAGTAACAATGATAAATCATTAAAACGAGGTGAAAAAATACCAAAATGTAAAGTATGTCAAAATACACTCATGTTAAATGATTTTGTTTTATATGAAACGAAAACTGTATTAATTAATGGAAGACCAATTGAAGGTCGTGATACATATCCGACTTATAATCAATATTGGCATGCAGTAAATTGTTTTGGATTCTATAAAAAAACAATTGACGATGATAAACAACGAATAAAAAAATTACGACAGAAATATGGTGATTCAACCAAAGAATTTAATGAAGCATATAACGAATTACTTAATCGACGTTTTCCCAATTTTGATAAAATGACAAAATCAAATCAGAACATTTTAGAAACAATAATGGAAAAAGGTGAATGTATAATCAATAATGAAACAAAACCAAAAACAAATAAGAGGAAAATCAGCGATGAAACAGATGATAATGAACAAAGTTTAACAAATAAACGTCGCAAGACCATACGAGTATCTACTTCGATAAACAAGAGAAGAACTTTAAGAAAATAAGACAAATTCAGATATTTCTAGAATGCATGAAAAGTACTGAATAATTTTATACTTTTTTTATTCTTAGAATCACTTGTAAATTAAGACACGATTAATAAAATGTTTTAACTGTAGCCTTTCTATTAGTCTGATGTTAAAAATTTCAATGAAAAAAGAAAGCAAATTTGTATTTTTTTAGAAGAAAATATTATTATCAGCGTTTTTGATACAAGTATCAGAAGGGAATGGAAAATCTACTGAATAACGGATGTTTGTTTTTCTGAGTAACGCATTTTTTGAACTAATTGAAGAGTGAAAATGAGTTTATCCACTACTGCCCGTTTTATTTCTTCATTATACTTTCTTTCAAAACAACATTCCTCAACAATATGAAAAAAAAAAACAATAGAAAAAAGACGAGTTAGTCAGAATCTACGAAACGTACTTATTCAGCTGCATAAAAGGAAGTTTATCAATTTAAATTTCTGGAAAAATTTCTGAGTTACTCTATTACCCATTAAGTACTAGATCTTTAAATTTTGATTTTTCTGAATTTTTATGTATAAAAAGATGTATCGAAATAAGATTTAAAAATAAAATTTTCATAATATATTATTTTATGGAATTTTTACACTTTCAAACTTAGATGCCTCATAAATTTTCTTAGGCAATTTTTGTTTCATTTAAAAGTCGTGCAGATTATTTTATGAGACAAATTTTATGTTTTCTTCAACAAAATGCGGGATAACAAAAATATTTTTACACATCTGAAAATAATAGAATCATTTATTTAATATTTTCAAATGGAGATCATGGTACTTAATGGGTTAAACAAGGAGATAAATGTCTCTCTCATCCTCATAAAAAATGCTAAATATTATGCCATTAATCCTTGATATTGTGTTATGATATTGTTTTGCATGATCAAGAAGAAAACAAAATCTAAATTCTTTTAAAATCTTTTACTTTTTGAAAGGTATGTCGAGTTCATAAATACATATCTATATGGCAAACTCGAGTCTTCTCGACTTTTGCTTCTTCATCTTTTGATATATAATATATTTTTTGTTCTCATTATATTCAACTGCCTGTTTTCTTTTCTTGCATTTATTCTTTGTTTCCTAACTCTCTTTCTCTTTCTTTTCATTGTATATTCAATTGCCATTTTCTTTTTTTTAAAAAAAAAATGAAAAAAAAAAAATCAACACAATGAACATATGAATTGAAAAACAAAATCGAATGAAAATAACAATGAACACGAAGGAGAAAGAGAAGAAGAAAAGAATAATAATAGTAACAACCACGACACAATATATATATAATGATGAATATTTCAAAAATGTATACCATAATTTTCAATGAATAAGGAATGAAACTTATACATTTAAGAATGAGTACGCATTCTACCATGGCGCAAGTAGGTAAGTTTTATCACACTGTTTATTTCTCAACAAATTTAACAATTAACATTTTAAAGGATAATTTTATTGTCTTTATTTTTTTCATTGAATAATTTAATGATTTCTAGCAAAATATTTGAGTTAGTTATCAAATAAAAATTAAAATATTTTTCTACAGAATTAACTGAAATCATTACTCATAAAAATTTCTACTATCAAAAAGTGATATCATACATTGACTATCATCAACTAAGTATCCATGAGGTATCTTCATAAATGTTTGCTGAATCATAGAGAAAAAACGTTTCTTATAAATTTCATGTCCAGTAACATAAATATCAAAAATATTGACCCTTTTTAAGTTTTAAAAAGAAATTTTATAATGACATCGTTCTTGATGAAATATACTTACGAATCAAACTGGTATACACACTTACATCTAATATTTACGAGATATTCGAAGGATCAGAAAGGAAGAATTTTTAGGAGTTTTATTTTTTTTTTGTTTTTTTGCATAGTAAATCAAGTACACATGGAAAAATTATCTTCAAGAAAAATGTGAAAAAGTTTTCATCAGATAACGTTAGAGAAAATTGTATACTATAATATAGATGACGAATTGAAATTTGAAAGAATATTGATTTGAAGTATATGAATAGTATTTACAAAATTTTATTTTACTGTAAAAACGTGTGTACTTTCGTGAAACTATAAGTCTAGTTTTAGACAAGAGTAATTTATGTTTAACTTAATTAGAACATGTTTTCTGTCATTTATTATTCAATTTTTTTTTTGTATTTTAAGAGTGTGTGGTAGTATGAAGATTTCTTTTTCCTTCTTTTTTTCACTTTTGAGGGACACGGTGTACATGATAAAGGATAATGCGCGTGAACATATAATATATATATATATATATATATATGAAGAGATTATATTTCTTTATATTTAGCAAAAGAATATCGAAAACAAAAGACAACAAAAAAATAAAGAAGAAAAACTGAAATGAATAGGAAACGTGGACTACACAATCATGATCATCATCATTATATCGTTATATATCTGTATCAGGTTAACTATTGAAATGATGAAAAAATTATGTGTCAATGTTATTGTTTGTTTCAATGGGTTTTTTTTTGTTGAAGAAGTAGGAAGAAGAACAAAGGCAAGGCAACTGAAGACGAGTATCTTTTGTATTGTTTTTTCATTCAACTAAACAAAAAAAAAAAAAAATGAAATGAAAAGAAGAAAAAAAACGTCATTTGGATAATCAATTGAAAAAAGCGGCAGCAAAATAGCGAGCACGGGTCATACGTTTTTTAAAGAGACTATTTCAACCATATCTAAACGGCTTTTGTGCTGTGCCAAAATGTATAAAAGAAAAAGTTGAAAAGAAATGTTGTAAAGAGAATGAATGAATGAATGAATGAATGAATGAATTCAATTCAATTCAATGAATGATTATAAGAACACAAGAGATGAAGAGAGGAAACAAGAAAGAGACAAAAACAGTATAAAAGAATGAATGAATAGCAGTAACAAACAGACATTCATATATAAAGAGAATGAATTCTAAATATTTCATCATTAGAATATAATAATATAACATATACCGTTTGAGGGACAATCTCTACCATTTGTTTTGTTATTTTCTTTTTTTTAGATTCTTGATAAGCATATATTATGCGAACGTTGAAAAACTATAGCCATATTATTTCGATGGCTTATCTATTATTATACAGTAACTGTTCGATATTTAACTCAATGTTAGTAATAATATTGTTATTTATGATATACTATGACAATATTTTATCATCTATATAAAGTAATGATATTTTTCGAAATATTAATGCGTAAATGAAAGATTCATGGAAGATCGAATTATGTTGTAGATCATATTTAGTGTTTGTATTTTGTCTTGAAAATGGTGCATGACGTATCGAAACGTCGACAATAAACGTTAGAAAAAAAGACATAAGCTATGTCTGAGCGATTCAAAGCTATCGTTAAAACGATTATTGATTTACTCAAATTATCTCCCATTAGAAAAATAAATTATCGAATTATGTTGATTAGAAGGTAAGAATAATAACATACTCTAAGAAGTTTTATTTCCATTATTTAACATCGTGTTTGTCAATATTTTAAGATGAAAGTACTAGACAATTTGGGAATAGATAGTTTATGACCAGATTCGTGAAGGGTAAAACTAAGAATAGTAATGTACATAAAATTGTTGATTAAATATTACAATAACAGTGTAGAGAATAATCCACAAAAATCATCAAGAAACAACTCCTTTATGAATAGCACAGACGTACCTCGTCCTTCGAAGCAGGATGGGACGAGGAGGGGGGAAAGGGTAAAATAATTTTTTTGAACATGTTGACAATATGCGTAGAAACAGATAACGATTTTTTCTGGCTTTTTGGGGAGTGCCAGTTTCTAATTTCAAAGAACGTTTTGCTAGAAAAAAACAAAAGATCTTAGAGAGTCAGATAGGCTTACTCCCGTTTACCCCCATCTATTTCGTTACACCCTTGCTGAATAGTTCCCAACACTTAACTAGCAAATAAGGTACAGAAGAATTTGATAGATCTGAAATTGCACTCCACGATTCACTTGTAAAGTTACAATCCAAAGTTTGAATTTAACATCTGATTTTAAAATATACTCTGTTCACGGGATACTACAAAAAAGTATTTTGTTGTTGTTTGCTTTCTTTCTTTTGTACCTTTGAATAGCAACTTTGATGTCGCCTTTTTACACGCAGTAGACTATGTCGCTAATATTTTCATTTTCAATTGCGACAACGTAAAGCGACATCGTTCATGATGATACCTGCTGTCATCTATTGGCTAGAGATATCGCTCGTTACCACATGAAATAAATCGTTGTTCAATTGTTTATAAAAGTGAAATGTATTCAGATTAAGTTGAATTTCTCATTTTTTTTAAAAGTTCAACGTTTTACTAATACACGATTATAGCAAGTATTGAATAGAAAAAAACTCATATGTAGGTACAATGAAATGACCTTCACTTTTCAGAGTAATCAGTGTTGTATATATATATATATATACATACATATATCATATGCATTCTATACACGGATTATGTTTGTACTATTAAATTTTCTAATCACAAATATTGACTATGGTTTTTACAGATACTTTCATTTTAATGAACTACATGTGTTTCTAAAGCTTAAGACAATTTAGTTTCGAAATGAAAATTCTTTTGAAGATGAGTTTCTACATACAAATAAATCTAACTATTCTTATCTCTAATCGTAATAAAACTCACAAGTACATAAATCTCAGTAAGAGTGATGTGAATTTGTCTCAGTTTTGCATGGTTTATCGCTGCTCTCATTGTCCCGGACAGCTAAATCTGACTGATGACATTCGTTGTCAGTCAAAAAATTTAATAATGAAAAAGAGTTTGTCTGATGTAGAAAAAAAATGAAAATGAAGTGTCATGTAATTATTAAAGAGCTAATCGAATGAATAAGATGTTATCATTCTCTTGAGAAAATAAAATTCAATCATACATCAACAAAATACAGTATTAATCAGAGGAAAAGAATTTTATTTAACACGCAAAAATCTATCAGTACTGCTAA